ATAGGCATGGCAGGGGTGTTTTGGGGGTGTCATCTGTAGCATATCTGAACTTTTTTAATCAGTCTAGAGGAATGCCAGTAGATTATATGCACAATTTACTGCTTGGTGTAGTAAAGTCTTACTTTGAAAATCTGTTTATGGAAAAATGTAAGAAGTTTTGGGTGGATGAGGATGCTACTCCAGAGGATCTTCAGAAAGCTATTGATGAACGCTTGCTCATAATCAAACCACCTACTTGTATTAACAGGACTCCTCGCACAATGAAAGATTGGGCTAATTGGAAGGCCAACGAATGGAGGACATTTGAGTTATTTTATGCCCTCCCATGTTTAACAGGTATTCTTAAAAAAGAATACGTTGAGCATTTAGCATTGCTTTCTGTTGGATCTTGTATTTTGCTACAGAAGTCAGTTAGCGAAAGTGATGCACATTATGTACATAGGTTATTTCAAATATTTTGTGTAAAGTACCAAAAGTACTTTGGAGAGGACTTTATGTATTACAATATCCATTTGTTGATCCACGTTATCCCAGGAGTTTTGAGATGGGGTCCACTTTTTACTCATAATGCGTTTATGTTCGAGTCTCATAATAGAAACTTGTTACAACTGAAAAAGAATCCCCACCGTGTTGTTGAGGAAGTCTCAAAGAGGTATGTCATTTTGCAAGCTTTGCCAAAAATGTTAGATAGATTTGCAACTGAAAGTACTTTAAATTATTGTGAGTATATTTTAGACCAGAGCCTCGCTCGGTTCATGGTTCCTGGTTCTTGGGCTTTGCAGGGAGTTGGCACTATTGAAGACAAATTGACTGACGATGAGACCACCCTACTTGTAAATCACTACCACCCCTTAGAAATATGTCTATATTACCAGAGAATACTTTATAAAGGAAAAAGAATTACTACTAGCCAGTATGCTGCTAAGAGAAAAAAAAATGATGATTCCGTTATATGTTTAAACGGGGAGGAAATTGTTGAAGTGAGGGCTATATTTACTCTTGCTGACCAAACTGTGCGACTCTTAACAAGGCAGCTACTTATGAAGGACTGTGATATTGTATCAAATCCACATCTTCGCCATCTTTCTGAACTGGCAAGGTATGGAGACTTAAAAATAATCAAACCTCAAGAAATAAGTGGACAATGTATTTTTATTAAAACTGTGACTGGAACATTCCTATCTAAAATGCCTTATGGATGCTATGGTGATTAAATTATAATATAATACTATGTTTATCATTGTTATTATTACAAACCTAACTAAAATCCCAACATATTGTGGTAACTTTTTATAAATTGAAAATATTTTCACTAAAATCACTGCATTTTATCACTCGAAGGAGTAATTAAAGTTATGCATGCTCTAATAATCAAACTGTGCTTGAAGACATCTGTTTGAACTACAAGACTACACTATAAATGTAAAGAGACATTTCTTTCCATTTACAGTATAGTTTTACAGTTTTGTTTTACAGTTACTGC